ATTTCGACGAAGGCCTCTCGCGTTCCCATCAGATGATGGGAGCAGCCACTGTCGAGGAGAACCACAGTCGGATTCGCCTGGACGGCTGCTGCGACCGCCTGGAAGTCTTCGCCAGCCTCCGGCGCCAGCGAAATTGTTGGCTCGACCACGCCAACCATCGAACAAGAGGCTTTCTTTTCGCTCGAAGCATCACCCTCTGATTTCGACGCCGTTTTCGAGGACGCAGGCTTCTCCTTGCGCGGCTGGTTGTCTCGACGACGACTGTCGCTGTCAGACTTCCCGTCCTCTGAGCGACCGGCGTTGTCAGACTTTCCGCGGCTCCCTCTCTGATTGTCATTAGACTCGTCGCGATCAGGGCAGTCGTAGGAGAGGTGGTCAGGGTCTCCACAAATGTAGCAACGGCATCCTCCTCGACGCGAACCACTGCTTCCGCGATCATTGCCCTTCGCCGACTTTCCGCGGTCGGCGCTCTCCGTAGACTTGGTGTTCGACGACTTTCCGCCACCGCCTCCACCTCCGCCCGACTTCCCACGCTGCCCCGTCTGACGTCCCTGCTTCGTCGGAGCGACGTAGTTAGCTTGGAGAAGGAGCTCCGAAGACCGCTCAGACTCCTGCATAAACTCGTCCTGGATGATGTGACTCGAAAGCGAATCCTCGTTCAGAGTTTCGCACTTGCCGGGCATTATCAGCATCCGTCGCATCAGATTGTAGCTCGAGGGGAGGCCGTTGATGACATGCGTGACATACGACGCCACCGAGTACTCGAAACCAGCCATCCGCATGTCGGCCAAAATTCGTTGCGCTCGATTGCAACTCGGTCGCCGATTCCTGCTCGCCCATGCGAATGGTGGCCAATTTCTTCTCCAGTTGGCTGATGTAGAGGTCGTCGGTCGCTCTGTAGGTGCGCATGATGTACTGCCACGCTTGGTAGCCGGCGTCCACTTGAAGTCGGCACTGCTTCAGCGCGACTTGCACCAGCGGCGAACAACACCTCGAAATGACCATGAAGGTCAGAAGGTGAGCAGCGCGAAATTCCGCCAACATTTCAGAGTCGTCTTCGTCCGGCATCTCCACCTTGCCGTCAACGAACTTCTTCAATCCGGCGATCTCCAGCTGAGGTTCGATTGACTCAATCCATGTGATCAAGTCGTGTCGTCCTTCGAGCGGCTGCGGCACAGCGATCTTGTCCGGCGAAAATTTGAAGTAGCCGTACGCTGGCGCGATGCCTCCGTCGCGACCAGCCGACGCATGAGTCGCCGATGTCGGCCTGGCTCCACTCCGCTGAGGAGAAAGGCGTCGACCATCGATGTTGCCGTTCGAACTTCCCGCTGCCGCCGAGCGCTGAACTCGTGCCTGCATTCCGCCGACGCCAAAGTCAGCGGCCCGAATCACTCCACGAACCCTCGTGCTGCCTTCGCTGCCGACTTGGTTACCACCGTCGACCTGGTCGTCGACGTCCCCTTCGTTGCGTGCCGGTCGGGGAGTGGCGGGCAGTCCATCCGCCTCAGTACGGGTCGTTGGGTGCTCGCGCGCCCACTACATGCGGGTTCCAAAGAGCATAACCTCCAAGGTTGCTCCGCCGTACTCGCCAGCTGCGTGGCGTGCCCGAACGTCTTCTAACCGCGCCTGCAGGGTATCCTCTACGCCTGCAGCGACCTCCTCCTGGTCGACCATGGCGGTCTAGACGGCTGCCGGCCTACAACAATTGGGTATTGAGCACTAAATTCGGCTACTCTGAAGGTTCTAACACGAGGCCGTTCCACGCTCACCGCACCATGCGGAGAGTCACCCTACAACGGGTGTGAACTACGAAGGAGGGCACGGAGTTGTGTGGGTGATCGTAGCGCTCTAGTAGCGTTCTAACAGAGTTCGTACTACTTGCTGTGTTCACAGAGGAATTTGGCAAGAGTTTCCACTAAGGAAATTGAAAGTACATTGAAAATTGAGAATTAGAGTACAAGAATGAGCATGCAAAGTGATATCTCTGGAATGGCATTGCAATCCCTAGCAAGCATTCTGCAAGGCGAATTGCCAGCACTGCATCAGAGCGATTCGCCAACGCTGAAACAGAGCGGTCTGCCAGCGTAGCAGAAGGGCGACATGCCAGCGCTGCAACAGGGCGGCCTGCCAGCGCTGCATTCGCAGGTGAATATCTGCGCAGGTGTGCACCTGCCGAGTAGGTGCAGGTAGACGGTTACACCGTCAGAGACATTGCGCAGGTGCCAGGTAGAAAACGCTCCGACGGTTTCATCAGATGTCCACCGTCGAGCACGTGATGCCATTTCGGAGGTCGAATTTCGCTAAGGACCACCTGAGCGAATTTCGCATGCCCTCGCAGAGTTTCGCAGTCGCGCGAATTCGGCCGACCAGTTCGCCGAGCTGACGCTCGCCGAACAGCGCCCTTCGATCAGAGAACGCGGCTCCTCGGACAGCACCCCGTCCGTCAGAGATCGCGCGACCCAGAAGCAGATCAGAAGACGAGCTCGTCGAACAGCACCCCGTCGACCAGAGCTCGTTGACGGGCTGGTGAATCAGAGGACAACCTTCCTCGAAAACCACCCGCGGTTTCAGAGGACGGGCTGATCCAATGCGACGATCACTTCGTCGAATTCACCACGTCGTCGCAGAGAATGCCTACGCCCAAGCGAGGGCGGGGCCTTTCACTCCGACACATCCGTCCCCTATAGATGTGCTTAACGTCATAGAGCGCTCTCCCTAGTTTGTTGGGGGTTGTCCTTTCATTTTTACAGGAATCAGGTTGACGTACTCCTGAAGGGCAGTTGGCTTGTATGTCTTATTCTCTGCTTGCTCTATGTATAATTGTGTATAGGTTGCGACCTTAGTATAATTGGCGGTTAAGGGTGCTTTTTCCTCACAAGACAACAATCAGTTTTATGATCTGTAAAGAGTATCGGGTGTATCTACTCCTCGCTGACTCGAGTCATTTTTATCCCAGGCGGTTTTGCTGTTCCCCAGCAGTGCCGTTTCTTCCACGTCGAGACAAGCCAACCCACCAGGGAGGTGTTTCTTGGGGAAGAGGCCCCTGCCAGTGGTGGCTCTCCCCGAGTCCCGACGTATGCACACACCTCGTCACTGACCGCCGACACCAACCAACTTTTGTCACGCCAAAAGACTGTACATATCTGGGGAACCTTCTGAGCCATGCCTTGTTTTTCTGCTGCCCAAACACTGTACACAAGCAGCATGCTGATGATTTGTTTGCCCGAGGGAGTTGTTTCGGGCAAAGGCTGGTGGAAGTTGGGGAAGCAGAAGTCCGAACAAAGTGGCAGCAGTGAACGGAACGGAACGGAAGGGGTGCTTGCGACAGACGTAAGGGCCACGAAAGTCCGATGGTCAGTTGTTAGGGGGTTCACAAACGTTGAACAGAAACGCAAAACGCAAAACGCAAAACGCGGAAAAACCGCAAAAGCGCAAAACGCCTTCCTGCAACAAAACTCCTCCCTGCCTGGTCAAAGACCGCGTTCCGCTCCGCCCCAACAATCACCCCCACCAAGCACCACGATTCTATGAACTCGCTTCCCCTCGGCCCGGATTTCCCAGTTGTTGCTCTTCCGCAGTGAAGCCTTCCCCTTCCCCCACCAACCCTGCCTGCCACTGTTTTCCTCCCCGCTTGCCCCTTCCCTCACCACCAACTTCGAATTGCGTTCTGTTCCGTTCCGTTCCGTCCTGTGCTTGTTGCTTTGCTGCTCCTCTGCTCCTCTGACATGGCATTGGAATCCTGGCAACCTGCAATGCAACCCTTCCTCATTCCCTCGTCGCAATCTGTAGACAGATCTGTCAGCATCCCTCCTAACCAATCTTACCTTGCAAGCAGCTGAACAACCCTCGTCCGTCAACGCCCACACAACCCTACCTTTACGCACCCGTCCCCGCCGCTAGTGGTATTCCACCTCGCCGCCATGCACGTGCCTATACTCTACCCCTCCCTGTGCCCCATACCCATCGCGGCGCCGGCCGTTCATCAAGAGTGACACGTGGCTCTCTCAGTGCTCCTAGCCCTACTAGGTCTTTCCGCTTCAGGTGCGTCTCTCGCGCCCTCCTTCGTCGCTGCGCAGTAGTAGGCGCGTCGGCGCACGGGGGGATTCGTTCTTAGGATACCGTGCAGGCGCGTACTAGATAGTCGCTTAGCGTCGCGACGTGCTTCAACCACCCGTGGCCACGAGGAAAAGAACGCAAGCCAAGGTAGGGGGACAGTAACTCGTGTGTAGTTTTGAGGCGCCTCAAAACAGTAACTGGTGTGCGTTTCGGGCGATGCCCGCAGAGACGGCAGTGGGACGGCAAAGGGACAGCATTGGGGACGGCAATGAGACGGCTACGGATGGCATTGGGACCGCGCAGTAGTCGCAAGGCCCTGCCAGAAGCCATAGTAGCAGTCGCACTCGCGCCGCCCTCATCCGTCGCTGAATACTGCTAGTACCGTGCACGACACAGCACCGCTTGATCTCGCGACCTCAGTACAGGTGACTGGTGCTATGGCGAATAGAATGGGACTGTACCGATGGCTGCGGTTGCCGGGTGTACTGGACGGAGGCAGCGAAGGCACAACGATTTGGAAACCCGTTGCCGTCGCGATCTCTCTAGATTCGATATTCCACCGTCAGTTCCGGCCGGCACATGATGGGCCGCCCCCGTCCCGCTCACGCCCCACCAACAACTCCGTAATAGATTCCAGCCTAGTTGCGCCGCGTCATTAAAAACTCTCCGCGTGGCACGGCACAGTACCGCGCTGCCACGACTGACCGAAATCCGCTGCGACGGTGTTCTCTCAAATTCTCACGCCTCACTTCCTAATCTCGTGCCTTTTTCTTTCTTTCCTCCCATTCCCGCGTCCCTCACTCGATCCTCCAGGTTGAATAGATCACTCGTTCGTTTGTTTGATTTCCGCCGTCGGATCTGACAACACTGCTCGCCGTTGATTAACTTCCGCCGTCAACACTCCCCATCGTGCCGCGCCGCTGCCAACGACGTTTCTGCTCATCATGGCGCCCCACTCTCCTGCGCCCTCGTCTTCTCACCCCCTTGCCGTCCTCCCCCTCGCGCTCTTCCTCGTCTTCGCCTGCACCCTCCAGTGCGCCTCCGCGCAGCCCGTCGCCAGCTCTCAGCGTGAGTCCGCCACCCCCGGCGCTGCGCCTCCCGTCGCCCGCTCGCGCTACCCGCACCTCTCTTTCCGCTCGCCCCACCTCGCGCGTCGCCTCACCTCGCGCGTCGCCCTCCCTACCATCGCTAGACTTTCTCGTCGTTCCACTTCCCCGATGCGGTCTCGCTGCCGCACACTCGCGCTCACGCTTGCGCTCGCCGTGCGAGCGCCATGCCGTCACATCTGTTAATCTGTCGACTAGAAACATCCCCGTCGCTCCTTGCGACCCGCTCTCCTCTCCCCGCTCCGCTCTTGCTACTCTCCACCCCGCGCTCCACTCTCTGCCCTTCTCACCCCCCTTCCTCTCTCTCGCTTCCCCCCTTCCCCCCCTTTCCCCCAACCCTCTTCCCCCCTCCTTCCTCCCCCGCAGTGACCGCGCTGACCGCGATAGCGGCGGCGTGGCGCAACCTGACGGCGCTGAACCAGACGTGGGTGGCGGGGAAGGACTGCAGCACGTGGTTCGGTCTCTCGTGCAACGCCATGGGCCAGGTCACCAGCTTGTGAGCGCCACCATCCCCACCATCCCCCTCCCATTCGGTTCCGCAACTCTCCGCCGCTCCCCTCACCGTCCCGCCCCGCCCCGCCCCGCCCCGCCCGGCCCCACCCCAGCCGGGCCGCCTTTGGTGCTGCGTGCCGCGCCGCGGACTTATGTTGTTGCTGTGTGGTGGTTCGCTTCCGTCGACTTCGTCGTGTTCCGCGCCGTCGCTGTCGCTTTCCGTCGCATGAGCGTCGTGCGACGAGAGCACGTCGTCGTCGCTGCTGCCGACCCAACGACCTCACCGTCTCTCCTCGTTTTCCCCGTGCCCCGTGCTCCCCGTCCCACTCTGTGCGACCTGTGCGCGTGTGCGGTTGTGTTTGCGCGCTCGTGTGTGTGAGTGCGCGCACGCCAGGGTGATCTCGGGGCAGCGCAGCCTGGGCGGGCAATCCATCCCCGCGGCCGTCACGCAGCTACAGGCGCTGCAGACACTGTCAGTCCTCGCTCCCCTCCTCTCTCTCTCTCTCTCTCTCTCTCTCTCTCTCTCTCTCTCTCTCTCTCTCTCTCTCTCTCTCTCTCTCTCTCTCTCTCTCTCTCTCTCTCTCCTTCGTCGCCCGCCTTTGACCTCCCCAACTCCCTCGTCTCGCTCTCTCTCTCTCCCTTCGCTCGCGCCCGCCATTTCCCCTTCCCCCTCTTCCGTTCCCTACTCCTCGCGGTGAAGTCAACACGCGCTGTGTGAAGTGGAGCGAAGCGAATCTCGTCGCCGCGCCGTCGCGTGCGCCTCTCGAGCGGCGCGCGCTATACCTTCACCCTTGTCGCATCTCGTGCCCGCGCGCACGGTTTCACTTGCGCGCCATCGCCTGCCATCGCCTGCCATGCCATGGTTTCACTACTCTGCCACAACATATCCCCGTCTCTCCTCTCCTCATCCCACCCTCACCACGCAACCCGTCTTCACCCACACGCTCCCCCGTCGCTTCCCTCCACTTTCCTCCCCGTTTCCCCCGCCGTTCCCGCTCTTTCCACCCCGTTTCCCCGTTTCCCCCGTGCGCGCGCCGTGCGTGTAACAGCGCGTTGGATCACAACCTGCTCACGGGGCCCATCCCCGACGACATCTCCTTCCTCACCGCGCTCACCAACGTGTACGACGCTGCTGCTGCCGCGATACCGCCGTGTTGCCACGCCACCGTCTCGCCGTCCTGCCGCGTCGCCATGCCTGCCCTCCCTGCGCCGCGTTCTGACTCGCCGCAGGGCCCTGCTGCATCGGCGCGCAGTGATGTGTGCCGGCGCTTTGAACGCATCCCACCTCTCTCGCTGCAGTCACCGTCGCCGTCCCTCGCACCCATGCCGCACGCAATAACCCTCGTCTCGTCTCGTCTCGCCTCTCCTCTCCTTTCTCGGCCTCGCATCGACGCGACTCTTATTTTATCCCCCTGGGCTTTCCACCCCATCTCGCATCTCCCCTTCAACCCTCCTCCTCCCCCTCACCTTCGCCCCTGCGTACTCCCCCAAACCCCCGTGTTCCCCCCCTCCCGGTCGCGCCTGCCCCTCCCTCCCCCTCTCCCTCCGTGCAGGTCGCTGAGTGGCAATCAGCTCAACGGCTCCATCCCCGCGGGCATCAGTCGCCTCAGCAACCTCCGATTCCTGTACGCCTCGCCTCGCCTCGCCTCGCCTCGCCTCGCCTCGCCTCGCCTCGCCTCGCCTCGCCTCGCCTCCCCATCGCCCCTCGCCTTTACTCTCCGTGTCCGTCAGCTGCTCTGCACTGCTCTCTCACATGTCCTTCTCTCCGCCTTTCACACCTCCGTCTATCCCTTTCCCCAATCGTCCTGCCCTCCCGGCCTCGCGCGTTATTCCATGCTGCCATGCGCGCTTCTTTGGGCCTCCTTGCCGTGCATGCCTGGACTAATGCCTCCCCTTCTTCGCACCTCTCTCTGTCTCTCTCTGCCTCTGCTTGTCTGTGCTCTCCCGCGCGTATGTTGCCGTGTGCGTGTGCATGTGTGTGTGTGTGTGTGTGTGTGTGTGTGTGTGTGTGTGTGTGTGTGCGTGCGTGTGTGCGCGCGTGCATGTGTGTGCGTGTGCGCGCGTGCGTGCATGTGTGTGTGTGTGCATCATCACAGGGACCTCACGTCCAACGCGCTCACAGGCTCTGTGCCCAACGTCTTCGGTGGCTTGACCAACCTCGCAACCTTGTACGCCCTCGCCCTCGCCCCCGCCCTCGCCCTCGCCCTCGCCCCCGCCCTCGCCCTCGCCACTCTTCTCTGTCGCCCATGCCTTCCCCCACTCTTGGTTTCCTCCCAAGTGCTGCTGTCGCTCGTGCCAGTCTGCACAAGCCCTTCGTGCCACCGCACAGCACACTGCCCATGCCGCACAAGCACCGACGCTACTGCCACACCTCCCTGCTTCGCCCCAATGCCCTGTGCTTATCACCCCCTTTCTTCCACTTCTCCCTCTCTTCCCCCTCTCTCCCCCCTCACTTCCACCTCGCTTCCCCCTCACTCACTCCTCCCCTCTCCCCCTACCAGTGCGGTGGCGCTCAACTCGCTCAACGACTCACTGCCGGCGTCCCTCTTCTCGCTCTCCAACCTGCAGCTTCTGTGAGCCGCTCTCTCCTCTCTTTCTCCGCTCTCTCTCCTCTCTTTCTCCGCTCTCCCTCTTTTCTCTCTCCTCTCTTTCTCCGCTCTCCCTCTTCTCTCTCTCCTCTCTTTCTCCGCTCTCCCTCTTCTCTCTCTCCTCTCTTTCTCCTCTCTTTCTCCGCTCTCCCCTTTCCCTATGCTACTCTCGTTTCCTCGGCACTCAAGCCCTTCCCCCTCACTTCCCGATTCCCCTCCCCCTCTCCCTCCCTGTACCAGCATGCTGGGGCGCAACCAGCTAACGGGAGTGCTACCGGCGACTGTGGACGGGCTCAAGTCGCTCAAAGCACTGTGCGTTCCGCTCCGCCCTCTCGCTTCTGCCCCTCCCCCCTCCCGCCTCCCGCCTCTAATATCTGGGCGCTGACCTCTGCGCATGTGGCGTGGAGTGCTGGTTACGTGTGTCGAGTGTGGGGTGTGGGATGTGGGCGTTGGGTGGGTATGCGCGTATGGGGTGTGTTTTCGTGCGCTGGTGGGGGGGCATGGAGACGGTGCCAGCTTCGCCCCCCTCCCACCCTTTCTAATCCTTGCCACCTCCTTTTGTCTCGTCCGCTCTCTTCCACTGTTGTCTCGTCCACCCTATTCTCTCTTTTGCTACTCACACAATTAATTGTTTGTCCCCGTGTGTAATCGTGCGTGCGCACATGCGTGTGTGCGTGTGCGTGCGTGCATGTGTGCGTGCATGCATGGGTGCATGCGTGCGTGCGTGCGTGCGTGCGTGCATGGGTGCATGTGGTCACAGGGATGTGAGCAACAACCGCTTCTACGGAGCCATGCCTGCAGCGCTCGCCACTCTCTCCAACCTCGTTCACCTGTACGCCCCTCTGCCGCCCTCCGCTCTCCGCCCTCCGCTCTCCGCCCTCCGCTTTCCGCCCTCACCATGCCTTCCATGCACCCCCACCCCCCTCCATCCAAGCATCTGCAGCACGACAATCTCCTCCCTCCCTTGCTCGCCTCAGCATCGCACCTCTCTCTCTCCTCTCCCTCTCTCCCACTCATCGCCCCTTCTTCACTCCCACCCACTTCCTAACCTCCCTCCTTTCTCTCACCCCCTCCTCCCCCCTCACCCTGCAGCGACCTAAGCCGCAATGCCTTCACAGGAACACCTCTCAGCACCTTCTCCTCGCAGTCCCTCGCATCCACCTCCCAAGCCGTGTACGACCTCAGCTCCAACTACTTCACAACCCTCCCCTCCTCTTTCTCCGCCAAGTCCTCCCCCTTCTGCCCCGCGGACCTCACCGGCGGGTTCTCCTCCGCCAATCTCCTGCCATTCGGCGCCACGGCCACCAGCAGCCTGCGCGACAACTGCTTCCTGGCCGGCGACTGGAACTACTCCCAGAGCTACGTGCACCGCGGGAGAGGCTGGGGCCGCGGCGGCAGCAACAGCGACAGCGGCAGCAGCAGCAGTGGGAGTAGCAGCTCGGGATGCGAGGCGGAGGATCAGAAGCGGCCAGTGGAGTGCGTGTCGTTCTGCGGTGCGGCTTTAGCAGCGGGGCCGTGCGGGGGCCTGGGGATGTGCGTGCTTGACGGGCCGTCGTACGTGCCGGCGTGCGTGTGCAACAACGGCATGTACAACGTTATTCTCTCTGTCACCGTTGGTTCTTCTACTGTCACCTACCCCTCCTGCTCGCCAAACCCCGGCACGCCCCCCCCTCGTAAGCAACCACAGCTCCGTCCTGCCCCGCCCTGCCTTGACTTCCCCTGCCCCGTCCCGCCCCGTCCCACCCTGCCCCGTCTTGCTTTGCCCTGCCTTCAGCCTGCCTCCAGCCTGCCTGCATGTCTCCCTTGCCCTGCCCTTGACTGCCTACCGCCTGCCTCCCCTTCCTGTCCCCCCTCCCTCAACTCCCCTTTCACTCGCTTTGCATCCTTTCGCTGTCCACGTGGCCGTTTAGCCTCTCTCATATGCCATCTCTCTCTGTCCCGGCACTTGCTCTCACAGTGATTTTTGCAATTATCGCCTAACCTGCTCGCTTGTGTCCCTCTCTGCTTCTCCCCCCTCTTCCCCCTGCCCTCCCCGCCCTATGACCCCTTCCAGCCGCTCCACCTCCCATTGACAGCACGGAGCGTCGCAAGAGAGGTAAGCATCACTACAGTTCTCTGTGCTGCACTCACCGTGCCCCCGTGCTTGCGTTGCATGCCCGCGTGCGCCTACCTTGCTGCTGCTGCGCCATGCCCTCATCCCTTCACCAACGTCACACCCATCCACCCCCTCCCAATCCCCTCACCTCCTCTCCCCAACCTCACTCCCCTCTCCTCCCACGCTTCATCCCCTTTTCGTCTCACCCTCCCCGTCCCTTCCCCAGGGTACCGCGGGGTGGTATTCACAGGCACAACACCAGCGCTGCCATCAGGCACCTATTCCAACAAGTACTTCCCAGTCAACTCCAAGTTCCCTCCCCCCCCCTCCTCCCCCTTTCTTCCCACCCCCCCCCCCCCCACCCCCCCCCCCCCTCCCCCTTTCTCCCCCCCCTCAACAGGGTACCGTGGGGTTGTGTTCACGGGGACAGCGCCCGCGCTGCCATCAGGCACCTACAGCAACAAGTATTTCCGCCATCTGTCCAAGGGCTTCACCGGCAACTACTCCTCGCCCACCTGGAACCTCACCAACGCCGTTGACTGGCGCGCCGTCATGCCCTCCCCGCTGCTCCCCGCCAAGGACCAAGGCCTCTGCTGTCAGTGCTCCCTGCCCTGCCCCGCTGCCCCCTGCCCTGCCCCGCTGCTCCCTGCCCTGCCCCGCTGCTCCCTGCCCTGCCCCGCTGCCCCCTGCCCTGCCCCGCTGCTCCCTGCCCTGCCCCGCTGCCCCCTGCCCTGCCCCGCTGCTCCCTGCCCCGCTGCCCCCTGCCCTGCCCTGCCCCGCTGCTCCCTGCCCCACTGCTCCCTGCCCCGCTGCTCCCTGCCCTGCTGCTCCCTGCCCCACTGCTCCCTGCCCTTCTCGTTTTCCTCTTCCCCCTCCCACCCACCACCCCCTTCCCAGACCTTTCTATCCCTTCCTTCCTTGCTCACTCTTGATGCTGGTTTGCTGTTTGCTGTTACCGCCTAACTTATTCGCTCTCCCACATGTACATACATACACACTCACTCTCTCCTTCGCGCTCACGCGATAACATACGGGGCAGCGGCACGGCACCCAACGTGATGACCCTCTGGAGACGTCTCAAAGTCACCCCCGCCCGCCCCTACCTCCACAACCTCCCCTCTTTCCTCCCTTCCCCACTCCAGCGGCTTGCTGGGCGTTCGCGCCAGTGGCGGCAACAGAGGCCCTGTACGGGATAACATACGGCGCAGCAGCACCCAACGTGTCAGAGCAGCGCGTGGTGGACTGCCAGGGCCAGTGGAGCTGCGCGGGCGGCTACCCCGCCCACGCCTTCAACTACATTGCTTCCAGCGGCGGCCTGCCGCTCGCTGTCAACTACCCCTACACTGGCATCTACTCGCCCTCGTCCTGCCGGGTATGAGCGTGGGAGCGTGCGCTAAAGGGTGGAGAGGGGGAGGGGGAGGAAAAGGGGTTGGGGGAGGGGGACTGGATGGGGGAGGGGAGGAGGGCGGGGGATGGGGGATGGGGAGGGAGGGGGGGAGGGGGAGGGGAAGGGGGTGGGGAAGGGGGAGGGGATAGGGGAGGGGATGGGAGAGGGGGAGTTGACTGAGACTTTGCTTTGGGCCTTCTGGAAAGGAGGGAGGGAGGGGAAGGAGTGGTGTTGATGGGATGTCCGATCTGGTGGAGACTGCCTGTCGTGCTTGGCCCTCTCGCTTTGCCGTTCGGAATCAGGATTGCTAGTCTTGTTGGTTGGCACTTCTCTTCTTCCGCCTGCTCCTTTCACCATCTCCTCCTTCTCTCCCTTGCCCATACGCTAGTCGTCGCCCCTTACCCCTGACACCACCTCACCATGCCACCTTCCCGGCATTACCCCCACCCCCTCACCCTCCCTCGTCTCCCGCTCCTCCCGTCCCTCTGCTGCCCCCCCCCTTCCCGTTCCACCCTCGCCAGACCGTCTCTCGCCGCTCCACCAAGCGCAACGTGCGCTTCCTGCTCAGCCTTGATGACCCGCTGCTGCCCACACAGGCACATGCAGATGCAGATGCAGAGCCAGCGCCACAGCCAGCCGCAGCGCGGCGACTATCCTCAGCGCAGGCGGCAGCAGCGCGTCACAGCAGCACGCGCGGGGTGGTGGTGGCGCGCGCGCGGTTCTCGGAGGCGCAGCTGTCCACGGGCCCGTTCAGCATCGCGTCGTACGAGCAGGTGTCCGTGCCCGGCTGGATGGGCATGGCGCTGGCTGTGCAGCAGCAGCCCGTCGTGGCGTATGTGGAGGCGGACCAGGAGTCCTTCGTCTCCTACCCCGGGGTGAGTCACTTGCTGCATGACCTCCTGTCCTGCTCTGCTCTGCTCTGCTGCCTCACTGTGCTTGATTGATTTGCTTCCCTCCCTCATTCTCCCCCTTCCTCCCTCCTTGCCTATTTCCGTCGCTCGCTTCCTCTCTCCCCTCTCCCTTGCCTCGCCCTCCTCCTCTGGAATCCCCTCCACCCAGCTCCTCTCTCTTCCCTCACCACCCCTTATCCCCCCACTCCTCCTCCACCCTCTCCCCCCTTCCCCCCCAGGGCTTCACGTACAACGATCCGGCGTGTTTTGCCAACCAGGCTGTGAACCACGCGGTGGTCATCGTGGGCTATAATATGACCTGCTTCCAGCACCGTTCCCGTCGACTCAATCCCCCGCCCTTTACCCCCCCTTTTCCCCCCCAGGGCTTCACGTACAACGACCCGGCGTGTTTCGCCAACCAGGTGGTGAACCATGCGGTGGTCATCGTGGGCTATGACCTGCTGGCAGCGCCGCCGCTGTGGATCGTGCGCAACTCCTGGGGCGCGGGCTGGGGCGACCAGGGCTACATGCAGCTCGCCATTGCCGGGGGGAGTGGCGTGTGCGGCGTCAACACCATGCCCGCCATCTACCCCACCATCGTCGGTCAGTGCTCTGCTCTGCTCTGCTCTGCTCTTCTCTGCTCTGCTCTGCTCTGCTCTGCTCTGCTCTGCTCTGCTCTGCTCTGCTCTGCTCTGCTCTGCTCTGCTCTGCTCTGCTCTGCTCTGCTCTGCTCTGCTGCCCCTGCGCCACGATTTCTCGCCTCCCCTCCCCTCCCCTCGCCTCCCCTCGCCTCTTCCACCCGCTGTTGTTCCTGCTCCCGTGCCTCGCCACCTGCCTGCCTCTCCGCCCTTTGCGCTCGCTCGCTCGCTCGGTGCAACTGCCGCTGCACGATAATGGATTTGTGTTGCTTGAAGCCGTCTTTTGCATAACCTATTTATTATCCCTCTGCACTCATTTTGCCGTCTCACGTGTCTAATTTGGCCCTCTGTAGTGCCTCTTTGCTGTGCTCTCACGTTCCCCCCCTCCCTCCACCACCCACCACCATCTCGGTCCACACACTCGCACCCCTCACACACTCTTCCCCCTCCCCTTTTCACCCTCCCCCTAAACCTCCTCCTCTTCTTCCCTTCCCACCGCTCGCCCCACCCACTCTCCCGGTGCGACAACAGGCTCCGACCCGTGCGGGCCCATCAACCCGTGTGGGGGCGGCACATGCAAGGCGACGGTGGGGGCAGCTAGCAAGAAGCAGGTGAACACGTGCACGTGCCCGGACAACTTCATCCCTGTTACCAACATCGACAAGACGCAGACCTGCGCTCCTGGTGCGTGCCTCCCCGGCTTCTCCCCCTCCCCCCATCTCTCTCTCCCCCCCCACCTTCTCTCTCTCTTCTCCCCTTCCCCGTCTCTTTCTCTGTCCCCTCTTCCCCTCGTTCTCTCCTAGCTCCCCCCCGCCCCTCTCTCTCCGCACCGCCTCTCTCTCTGTGAGCCTGCTGGATGTGTGTCAGGGCGTAGTGCGCCTCTGCCTAATCCCTCCTTATGCTTACACCGCCTTTGCTTTGCCCTCCCACCCCCCCCTTTCCCACGAACCCTCCCTCATTCCGTCTTTCATTCGCAACCCCCCGTCCCCCCCTTGTCGCCCGCCCTCTCCCTTCTCCCCTGCTCCCCCCCCGGCAGCCAAGGTGTGTACGTTCTACGCAATCAACCCGTGTGGGTTTGGCACGTGTGTGGACAATGATGCGGGCGGGTACTCGTGTCTGTGCTCCACGGGGTTCACTCAGGGCATGCGCACCGACGGCACTGTCACCTGCGTCCCTGGTACGTCACCCGCACGATTTCCTCAATTTCCCCCTCTCCTCCGCCTCTCCTCCCTCTCTCCTTCTACTGTCTTCCCATCCTCCTCGCTCCTCCTCTCTTGCCACTCTGATCCCTTATCATCGCCACTCCTCGCTACTGCACACACCCACTAAACAATATTCACCCGGACTCGCCTGCCCTCTTCCTTCCCTTCACTCTCCCTCCTCTGCTGCTGCCCTGCTACCCAGCTAACCCACCCTCTACCCACCTTTACCACCCTCTACCCCCCTTGTCCCCGTGTGCTCGCAGCAACCAAGCCAGCAACACGGTGTCACTGCCAACAGCTATGACGTGCAGCTTTTGAGTCATCTCAAAACCCTGCCATCTCCTCTCTCCCCTGGTCCCCGTGTGCGTGCCCACTGCCCACAGCAACCAAAGCTACCAACACGGTGTCGCTGCCCGCGGCCATGACGTGCGACCAAGTGCGCTCCACCTACTCGCTCTCCATGTCTGCCTTCCGCCTCCTCAACCCCGTGAGTGCCTCTCAACCCCGTGAGTGCCTCTCAACCTCATGTGTCTCGCCTTCGCCCTCTCAATTCCACGCACAAACCGCCCTCATTTCTCATTCATGCCCTGCCTGCCCACCTCTCACTGTGCGCGGTCATGCCCAAGCTCCTTCCCATGTGCCCAACTGCACACACGCACGCACCTTGCCCTTCGCACCCCATCCTTCCTCCACCTCTCTTACCTGCTGCTCCTCCTCTCCTCCCATTCCCACCACTTCCTCACGTCCATGCCCATCCCCTGCCCCTCACCTGCCTGTTTCCTCCCCCTCCCCTCTCCCTTTTCTACCCTTTCCCCTGCTCTACCTCTGCTCCCTCCCCCTCCCCGCCCCTGCACGCCCTCTCCCCGTCCACCCCTAACGCAGAAGCTCAAGTGTCCGGGAGTGTTCAAGGCGGGCACGACCATCACAGTGCGCCCGGCCAGCAGCAACACCTCCCCCAGCGCCATCACCGCCTGCACCGTGCCGCTCACCATGAACCAGGTGCGTGCACACTATGCGCACCGTGCACTGTCTGCTACCCGCTACACCTCTTCCCGCTGCCCGCTGCGCACTGCCCCTTCCCACCACGCCTCCTGCCCGTTCCCCGCTCTTCCACTCACTCCCTCCCGCTCCACACCATTCCTTCCCCTATCTGTCTCCCCTTCCTCGCCCACCAATGGCAGGGCGACACGTGTGAGTGGGTGCAGAGCATGTTTGGGATCACAGCAGCGGACCTAGCAGCACTGAACCCCGACCTCAACTGCACACAGCTCGTGCCCGGCCAACAGGTGCCCCCCTCGCTCTCCCACCTCACCCCCTCTCCCGTCTCTCCTCTCCCCTCTCCTCTCTCTCCTCTCCTCTCTCCCCTCTCTCCCTGACCTCCTTGCTGCCCTCCCTCTCCCACTCCCCTCCCCCACTCCCCTCCCCCACTCCCCTCCCACACTCCCCTCACCCGCTCTCCTCCTACCCACTCAACTCAGCTCAACTAACCTCGCTGTGCTGTCACCCATCCTGCACCACTGCACCCGCCCTCTTTCCACTCGCACATTATTTCCCACCTTCATTAAACCCACCCCTTGCCACCTCCCTCCCTCCACACACCGATCACCTGCCATACCCTCTACCCCCTCACTCCCTCTTCCTCCCTCTCACTCTCCCTCCACCTCCCTCTCCCTCTCCTTCCCCCCGTCCTCGCCCTTCTCCCTCCTCGCCCTTCTCCCCCTTTTCCTCCCACCAGCTGTGCATGGATCAGGGCACGCCACTGCCGCTGTCGTGCACGAGCTATTACACGGTCAACCCGGGGGAGACGTGCTTGGACGTCATGGCAAAGGCACAGCCGCCCATCACAGCGCTGCAGCTCTACTCCTACAACCCCGGGATCATCTGCTCTGCCGACTCCTCACAACGCCTCGTGGGCCAGCAGGTACGCTTCTTCTGCTCTGCCTGCCCTGCTGCCTCCTCGTCCTTGCCCAGCTTGTGCTGTGCTGTGCAGCGTTGTGCTGTGTTGTGCGGTGCTGTGCGGTGCAGCGCTGTGTGCATGGCGGGGCGAGAGTGCTCATGTGCATGCACGGGGTTGTGTTGTGTTGTGTTGTGTTGTGTTGTGTTGTGTTGTGTTGTGTTGTGCGTGGGTGATCATGTGCTCCGGCCAAAGTGCGCCTTTTCAATGTTTCCTGTGCGCACGGTGAGCTCAATGATCATGTCCAAGTGGCTGTGCGCACTGTGAGCTGCACACGTGAGGCTGCAGTGCATGTGAGGCTGCACATAAGGCTGCATGTGCTTTTCTGCTTCTCACCCTCGCACTCTCATCCACCTCTCTCCTCCATCTCCCCCACCCTCTCCCCCACACGTTCCCCCCCCCCCCCCCCCCCCCCCCCCCCTGGTGACAGCTCTGTGTGGGCAGCCTACCGCTGATTGGAGCGTCATGCTACTATGGCACATACACAGTGGTCCGTGGAGACACGTGTGCGACGGTGGTGTGCAAGGTATTCAAGTGCTCCTACTCCCTCATGTACTACTACAATCCCGGCTTCACTTGCACTACCTCAACCCTGTGGGTGGGTAGGGTTCTCTGCAAGCCCAAGCCGTAGCTCACCTTGCCAAGGGAGTATACCTTTATAGTACCGTATATGCACGTGGGGTAGGAAGGGGCGACGCGTCACGTCACGTGACGGTTGCAGCAGCATATGTATTTCTAAATAAGGTGTACCCGCTGATTTGGTTTTATTGCTTCTTTGTTTGTTTCTTAGTACATTCAATTTCATTTTATTTTATCTAAGTTTGTAGGTGATTTGGTTTGTGCTAACTTACAGTATCATAATGTATTCTATACGGTGGCTTCAAGTGCGTGGGTGGAATGCAGATGCTTGGGCTGGGTTATGGCACTCTACACTCCAGGCAAAACATCTATAAAACATCAGATGAGCGCAGTGGGTGGATACATGGTAACATACAAAATACCAGTATGTATGTAGCACCCGCAAGGCTGAATGAGTGTCTATTATTACTTTCATGTGGTGTGGAGCAGTCAAGCGATAGAACAGCATCTTCCGTGGCTGGTCCGCTTGTATATATACAGCATTCTCCCATGCACAGTACAGTACAAAGCAACTATAGCATACGGTACTACCGTAAGCCCCCGGATAGAAGCGCAGGCCTCGGATAAGCGCCGGCGCTTATAAAAGGATGAGGGCGCTTATATCCGGTCCTCGATTATAAGCGCACCCCTTAGAAAAAGATGATAAATTATAAGCGCATGTTTGTTTTTCATTTGAAAACCTGTCAAAATGCATAAAGCCAGCAGCTAAAATAGTGACCCCCCCCTTCTAGTTGGGTCCACTTGAAGTCTCAAACTCACTTTGGAAAGTTGAAGTGTTTTACCAAAATATTTTCACTGACGCGAGAAACACTTGTTGAGTCTTTCACAATTTTTTATCAAACAACAATCCGTCGCAAGCATGGGCAAATGTCGCAAGGTTGCGACGTGCAAATCCCATGCACATTGCGTGCCAATTTCGACTAGTGCTTGCATGTGCAATTCAGGCAGAGCAATTGCCACTCACACATGTGCCTGCAAGGCCTGCAATCACAACGTAGGAAAGACAAGAGGAAAACAACAGAGAGTTTCAATGTGACGAGATACAAGAGAGATAGGGCGACGGAAACAAGGACGCGTGCAGAGAAATGTGAGAGCAAAATCGCGGAATGGTAGTGCGCGAGGGCGACGAGATGAGTGATGGGAGGGGAGAGAAGAAGGGTGACGGGATGGCATTTCGAGGAGAGCGTGAGGGCGACGAGGTCCGTGATGGGAAGGGAAATACGAAATGCGACGGGCGAGCATTTCGGCTGAGCGCGAGGACGACGAGGTACGAAGCGCGTGGATGATTCGAGAGTACGAAGGGCGCGGGGAGGGCGTTCCAGATCGAGCGCGACGGCGACGAGTTGGGCGATGGGAGGGGAGGTTGGGTGGGGGAGGAGAGAGCGACGGCGACGGGAAGGGCGAGTAGAGAGAGAGGGCGAGGGAGGGAGGGGAGAGAGCGAAGGAGATGGGAAGGGCGCGGAGAGAGGGAGGGCGACGGGGAGGGAGGGGAGAGAGCGAAGGAGATGGGAAGGGCGCGGAGAGAGGGAGGGCGATGAGTGAAGGGAGGGAAGAGAGCGAAGGAGATGGGAAGGGCGCGGAGAGAGGGAGGGCGACGGGAGAGTGGAAGGGCGACGGAGGGCTGATCGGTCGGTAGGGAGGGCGACGAGAAGGGAGCAGGGACAATGGGGGCGATGGAAATGGAGGGTAACAATGAAGGAACGACGGGAAGGGAGGGGGACGAAGATTGCGCGGGGAGAGAGAACGTGAGGGTGACGCGGCGAGGAAGGAGCGAGCGTAGTCGAGGGTGACGGGATATTGATGTTTGCGCGCCACGGAAAGCGATGGCGTTACGCTAGTGGTGTACATAATACATTGCGTACCCAAGCTATGTCGAAAGATAACACACTCGAGCTATGGAAGATGTCGCGTTGGGCATGGGTCACGAGAAACTACTGAGATTTCAGCTAACTTAGGCATAGTAGTGACTACTGGAGAACTAAACAGAGCCGTCGTGAACCCAGTTCCAGCTTGAAACCATAGTTGGGCCTAGCGACCAAAACCGTCGCCTGCAACGGTCGGTTGGGTCCAGCACGATGAGATGCGATGGGTGATGTTCCTTTTGGCGGGAGCCCAGAAAAAAATACTTCTGCGCTAGCCAATCACATTCGTTCGATCTGAACACTTCTGTTGTGTTGTACAGTGCTTTGTTGGCCCGATCCCTTTCTCTCGTCGCAACACCTTTTCAAGCTGGGTCGGGGTTCACTATTTTGCATTTCGGTTATAAACGAATTTCACATTATTAGGGAAACGAACTAGAATTTCGATTTCCCACACTCTGACCCCATTTTTTGCGCGTCTAGTCAGCATGTGCTGTAATTATGTCAGTGTGAGCTGGCAGGGAATCGCTCCCTGCCAAGTTGCGCGAGAATCAGAATCGCGACCCTGTATGTTTTCAACTCGATAATAGTCGGCAGAACAAGATCTACAGTCTGGTGTAAAACAAATATAAATTCTTCTTGCCATTCTATAAGCGCCGGCGCTTATAAATTTCCTCAATTATAAGCGCACCCCCTTAAAAACAGTGTTTTATTACACCCCCAGGGGCGCTTCTATCCGGGGGCTGACGGTACCGTAATGCCCAAGAATCAGGAATCATGAGGAGGACGCGCAGATGAGGAATTACAGTCTAAGAACGTAACGGAGCAAACCAAGGGAATCGGAAAGGGGATCGGATGAGGTGGAGTTGGTGTCAAACATTATATATGTTGTGTTTGTTTAGGCTACAGTGGGTTAGCCTATAGGGGGTACACAATTCTAGGGTTTGGTACTTGTACTGCTTTCACTCATAGTTCAATCATTCCAGTCTCTTCTTTCTGACATGGTTTCAGAGCAGGTCCTTCGCTAGGACCGTTCTTAGGGCCCACCACTGAATACCTACCTACCTATCTACTGTCGGAGTGCTGCGTTAGCGCCTCCCCCTCAGCGCCCTCGTGCGCCCTCGTTTACGGCCCCCCCTAAGGCCCCGTCGACCCCGCGCGCCGCCCCTTAGCGATTCGCGCGCCGCCCCTTAGTGGCCCCGTCGAACCCGCGCGCGCCCCGATTTCGGCCCCGTTTGGCCCCGTCGACCCGCGCGCGTCCCCCCTTAGAGGCCCCGCTGGCCCCGTCGACCCGCGCGCGCCCCGCTTACGGCCCCGTCGGTCCCGCACGCGCCCCGCTTACGGCCCCGTCGACCCCGCGCGCACCCCGTTTAGCGGCCCCGCGGCCCCGTCGAACCCCACCTAGCGGCCCCGTGGCCCCGTCGCGTCCCGCCTAGAGGCCCCGCGGCCCCGTCGCGTCCCGCTTAGAGGCCCCGCGGCCCCGTCGCGCCCCACCTCACGGCCCCGCGACCCCGTTGCGCCCCGCTTAGCGGCCCCGCGGCCCCGTCGAGCCCCGCTTAGAGGCCCCCCGAGGCCCTGTACCGCCCCGCTTAGAGGCTCTGCGCAGCCGCCACTGCAGCAGCAGCCCCTGGAGCAGCCGCCACTGCAGCAGCAGCCCCTGGAGCCGCCCGCCACTGCAGTAGCAGCCCCTGGAGCCGCCCGCCTGTCAAACTATATGTGCTGCATATTGTCTAGGCTGTAGTGGGGTAGCCCATATGGGGTACAACCTAGTTAGGGTTTACTACTTGTACTCCTGCATCCTGTTAGTTCATTCATTCCTGCTGCTAGATTCTAACATGGTTTCAGAGCACTAAGGTCCGTAGGACCGTTTTTTTTTCGGGCCCACCTACCGCTGCGGTTACCGCGCTACCCCACGTAGCCTTGCCTTGCCTTGTATGCCTTGCCTTGCCTTGCCTTGCCTGCGCGCTGCCCCTAGAGGCCCGTAAGGCCCGCGCGCCGCCTCTACACGCCTGTCGGGCCCGCACACACGCTGCTACCGCGCGCTGCCCGCACCGAGATCGCGCAGCCCGCCCCGAGTCGCGCGCAGCCCGCTGCAGCCACGCGCAGCCCGCACCGAGCCGCGCGCAGCCCGCTGCAGCCGCGCGCAGCCTGCACCGAGCCGCGCACAGCCCGCTGCAACCGCGCGCAGCCCGCACCGAGCCGCGCGCAGCTCGCAGCTGCCGCGCGCAGCCCGCGCCGAGCCCGCGCAGCCCGCGTCGAGCCGCGCGCGGCCTGCTACGGCCTCGCGCAGCCCGCGCGCGGCCCGCAGCAGCTCGTGCCGAGCCGCGCGAGGCCTGCTCCTGCCTCGCACGGCCCGCGCGCGGCCCGCAACAGCCCGCGCCGAGCCGCGCGCGGCCCGCTACTCCCTAGCGCGGCCGCGCGCGGCCCTTTGCCTCGGCCCCGACCTGCCGCTGATGCGGCCCCGCCCAGCAGCTGCCATGGCCCCGACCTGCCGCTGATGCGGCCCCGCCCTGCAGCTGCCACGACCCCGACCTGCCGCTGACGCGGCCCCACCCTGCTACTGCCGCTGACGCGGCCCCGCCCTCCAGCTGTTTCGGCCCTGCTCTGCAGCCGGTTTTGCGGCCCCGACGTCGCCGCTGTCGTGCGCCTACTCGAGCGCCGGCCCTGCTCTCCCAGCCTTTGGTGAGCGCCTGCCTGCCTGCCTGACGGCCTGCCTGTCTGCCTGCCTGCCTGCCGGCCTGGCTGCCTGCCTGCCTGCCGGCCTGCCTGCCTGCCTGCCTGTCTGCCTGCGTGTCTACTTGCCTGCCTGCCTGCCTGCCTACCTGCCTGCCTGTCTGCCTGCCTGCCTGCCTGCCTGGCTGCCTGCCTACCTGCCGGCCTGCCTGCCTGCCTGCCTGCCTGCTTGCTTGCCTGCCTGCCGCGCCTGCCTTGCCTGCGCTACTGCTACTGGCAGGTGGCCAGATGCAGCTCCAGCGACATTCACGCGAGCCTCTGACGCCTCAGCAGCTTAGTGAGTGGTATACTAGCTGGGGTTGTCGCGGTAGCCGTCGTAGCTGTCGCCCTGGAGCTGGTCAGTTGGGAGCGTCTGGCAGTGGCCAGCTGCAGCTGCAGGGACGTCCACGTGAGACACTTA